ATACTACCCAAGTTGGTGATTCTAGAGGGTTTTACCACTGAGTTTAATGGGGATACAACCCCAAAGGATGATAGCGATAACCAACAATTGTACTGTTACTATGGAATGGGACAGATGCATTTTTCATGGCAAAAAGACCTGGCTTTCCAAGGAAATGAGCGCAACTGATCAGCAGGATGCTCAGCCAGTGGAGGATCCACATGACAAGGTAACCAAGGGATACCAAGGTATCCGGTTCTTATCCGGTTCTTAAAGTGTCCACAAGCACAGGCACATGGTCAACATGTGCCTGAAGGTACAATCAAGTGAACACTAATTAGAATCGCTCATGTGTTGCAAATCCCTGAGGTTTCGCGTCATTTTTGATGGTCCCATGAAGGAATCGAGAGATGCTGTAAGTGCCTTAGGTTTTCTTCCAGCCTTTGCTGTTATGATCCAAACCAGATTTGTCATCAGGTGGGTCCGGATGTTGGTGACTTGAGGTGGAGATTCTTTACGGCCGAGTGAAGCGGTTTGCGGCCCAGCTTCGTTGCAACTTTGCTGGGCCATGATTGAAGCCGTCGCATGCAACGTCACACAGCAGAAACTCTTGGGGTAAAAAGCTGGGGATTGGTGAAACAACCTGTGGATCGCAGGCTATTTTGGGGGTCCACCCAGGGTACTGCACCATGGTTTTGACCTTCTTTACTGTAGATAGACTATAGATTCTATAGCATTTGTAGCCAGCTGTTGGAAGAAAAATGCAGTGGAGACTTGCATACGTTAAACATCCTATCAGCTGGAGTTCCAAAATGTTCAGCGGCAGCTTTCGCATGCTTCTGCCATCTTTTGCCACTGGCTAGTTGCTGCCGGTTTCTGCCGTCCCGCCGGACACCGGACATCATGTGGGCTCTGAGGTTCCTTGACATGGAACTGCAATTGAGGGCCCTTTCGGCAAGTGTGGGGCCAAGGGGTTGCGAGTCAGATTTGGATACCATGGGTGATGTATTAGATGCCCATGGAGGTTGGTCAATATAGTGGTCACCGGTCAAATAGAGCAATGATCAATTTTAAAAAATACCTGGAAAGCCTGGTGCCCGAAGTTTTGGTCACTTTCCAAAGTGCCCGAAATTTTGGTCACTACGGTTTTGGGTTTTTTTTAACACCTGTTTGCGTTATTCAGTTTTGGCTTAGATACTGCAATGGATGAATCAACACATATCAAAACAACAGAATTCCATCATACTCCATGAGAAAATCACCGCTCCCACCACAAAACAATCGTATGAGTTGAGATTTCAAATTCGACCCAGCCAAATGCCCTGACACCACCAGCTTTTCCATCTCCGTTGGGCTTTGCGATGCTGTTCGTGCTCAGCAGCTTGGCAAGGACACCGGCACCAGGGAACCAGGGCATTGAAATCATATCAATGTAGCCAAAGCTATTTGATAGCGGCTCAAAGTTCGCACATGGATTGTACGGATTGATGCAGAACGGCTGTAAGTACATATGCGACCTACATAGTCTTCATCTTGCTGCGTGCTATACACTAAAGGGTTGGGGCTGGGCAAGTTCTGGCACTCCTGAACTTGCAGTTCGAAAACCAGCTCCCCAAACATATGCTGTTTGGGTTGCAGTTTGAATCTGGTCAAATCTGCCCAGTAGCAGTGGTCCGCACAAACCCTGAAAGCAGTGGTGAACTTGGTGCCAGAAACTATAAGAGTTCGTCTTTCTGAACGTGTAAGCCAGAAAGCGGCATGGTACAAAGTTGTCATGAACCTATTGGCTTCTCTTGTGGCTTTCAAACACGCCTGGAAAAAATTGTTGGTCTCTTCGTCCACACTGGCATCCAATAGTTTCTCAGGAAGAATCATCTCAAGAAATTTCAAGAGCGAAACTGTGTCAGCACCTTTGAACCAATTCCTGGGCAGTCCGCTGAATCACACATAAAAACCATAAAATCGAAAACACATTTATAGCATGTCAAGAAAAATGTTTGAATTCTTGAGCAACCAAGAATCCCAATCGGGTACTCACTGGATTTTGTAAAACCAAGCAATTGTCGCGATAGGTGCATCATGTGCAGTTGCAATGAGTTCCGTGCGCAAAATTGTTTCAGCTCAGCAAATACGGTTGACAGATGCTCCTCAAAAGAGTTGCACCCGAAGATTCCGTAGTCATAGCAACATACCTGGGATGACTGGGCATCATGAGTTTTTACTTTTTCCCCACCTGCCAGGTGAGGGTTGTTAGATTTTATGTCAGTTGCCTGCTCCTCTCCTCTCCTCCTCTCCTCTCCTCCTCCCCTCTCCTCCTCCTCCTGCTCAACCGCGACCCTCGACGCACAGTGTTCTCTGTCGGACCTCAACCACGACCATCCACGCCCAGTGTTCCCTGCCGGACCTCAACCACGACCATCCCCGCCCAGTGTTCCCTGCCGGACCTCAACCACGACCATCCACGCCCAGTGTTCCCTGCCGGACCTCAACCGCGAGTATCCCCGCCCAGTGTTCCCTGCCGGACCTCAACCACGACCATCCACGCCCAGTGTTCCCTGCCGGACCTCAACCGCGAGTATCCACGCCAAAAGATATGCCACATAGAGTGCCAGAAGATATGCCAGATAGAATGTTAGAAGATATGCCAGATAGAATGCCAGAAGGTATGCCAGATAGAATGCCAGATAGAATGTCAGATAGAATGCCAGAAGATATGCCAGATAAAGTGCCAGAATGTTTGCCAGATAGAATGCCAGCAGATTTGCCAGATAATATGCCAGAAGATATGCTAGATAGAATGCCAGATGGAATGCCAGAAGATTTGCCAGATAATATGCCAGAAGATATGCCAGATAGAATGCCAGATGGAATGCCAGAAGATATGCCATAACATATGCCAGAAGATATGCCAGAAGATATGCCAGAACATCTGCCAGAAGATATGCCAGAACATCTGCCAGAAGATATGCCAGGTAGAATGCCAGAAGATATGCCAGATAGAATGCCAGATCGAATGCCCGAAAATATGTCAGATAGAATGCCAGAAGATTTGCCAGTAACAAAATGTATAAATGTCATGGTGGGGATCACACGAAGTAAAGTAATTTGATTGCTTTTTCTAGTAAAAACGCGGTAATAAGATGATTAGCTGAGGCGCAATAATATTCGCTGCCAAATCTGCCATGACCCCTTTGTGGCATGTATGGAAGACATCGATCCGAAAGAACTTCGCTTTGGACTGAGGGTCCATTGGAATATTCAAAGTCAAGTCAGATTCTTTGGTCCATGGAACTGGAACATCCTTGTGCATTGCCGCCATGTTCTCGTAAGTGGTATCATGCCAATCAGACCCATCAACCATACCTCCTCGGCACAGATGACAGATGCCTGCGCCTTTTTCTTTGCTTTTGGGGTTTCTTCCATGATGCCTGGATAACCGACCCAGCTTTGATAGGGCAGGCCAATCACCCTTAAGGGCCAGGGCAATGACATAGATGTGTTGCACCTTGCCATCAATCTTGACCCTGCACCCATGGTAAAACAAATCCCGGAGTTGCAGACTCAAGTGGCGCACCAATGCCAAAAGAGGTTTGTTCTTGTGTTTCTTTCCAGAGTACATGCGTCCAAGCATAACTGAGAATAAAAATCTTGTTTGCAAACTGTTGCCCACGAAGTTGAGCCCATGCGTCATAGAGTCAGCTTTGCGCTTTCGACTACCTCTACCCAGAAGGGGTTGGGTTTGAAGCACCATTAAGGCTTTTTTTTAACAGAAGTCCCTTCATCGGCATGAATAGCTACTGGAATACATCTTCCCAGGTGGTCATGGTGAACGTGAAAGATAGGATGGCCAGGTTCAAGTTGCCGCCAATAATTCCAGAACTCTTCATATTGTTGAGCCCGGTTGCCCATCAATAGAGTGTCCATTTTGTTGTCGGCATCCAATGTCTTGATGAAGTCGGAAACCGCTAAGATTGGGTGTGTTTCGGACAGGCCCACATCAACAAAACTCACTGGGATGTTGGTGCATAGCCCAAATTTGGGAAGGTGGCTGGACAAACGGTTCTCATGGTCTGTTCTGGCCAGCCTGGATGCTAATGCACAAAAGTTTCCACTTGGGACTATGGAATCGGGTTTCAGCAAGGGTTCGAACTCCTCCCAAAATGCCTGCACCAAATGGCAAGCCTCTTTTTCGGTAACCTCAGATGATGAGTCTAAAAACAATTCATAAGAACAATCTGTTTTAACATGGTAACATCAGATGTTGGTGGGGGTTGGACTTACAGCACCCCAAAAAGACAAAAAAAAAATAGAGGCATAAAATAGAGATATAGCAGGACAAAGTATAACAAACCTTACACCAAAGTTCCCCCTTGGCGATCGCCCGTGCCACCGCTTTGGCTGCAGGACCCACGGGGCCGTGATGCGAAGATGCAACTGCTTGAGGAGTGGAACCTGCGCATGGGTAGCTAACTAACTGAGGGTATAGTGGGCAGAAAATATTTTGGAGATCTTTGGAGTAACGTCGGCACAAAGGGCAACATTTTCCCCAAGTTTGAAGCTCTTCTGCAAGTTTCTTGAACTACAGCTCATGCTGCGAAGACTCAGCAAAGTCAAAAGAAGATTTGTCCATAGGACACGGACAGGGCCCCCTGCAATTCAAATGTTCCAATGCGTATGGGAAAAGTTTTCAGATAAAACCTGGCATGTTTCACACTGCTGGGGCTACCCTGCCAACCCGACAAAAGCGCGTGCAATCACACGCCAGCGACCCAAAGTACATATAGATTGGCGCCAAATCAGATTGGCTCCTTGAAGCCTCAGCCAAAGACATGATCTATTTCAAGATTCAATCGTAGCATGAAACATCTTGGGGCCTGGCTTTGATCTTGCCAAGCTCAGGATCGAATATTCTCCATTGTCCTCACCAATAATTCCATGCAATCATTGATGCAGAGACAAATGTCGGCTGCCTCAAACTTTTTTGTCTAGATATGGCAAACTTAGAGATACCTGGCCTCAAATCAGTTGGCTGCCTTCTTCTTCTTAATCTTAGGTTTCTTTGCCGGCTCGGATGGTTCTGCCACGGCAGCCTTACGTTTCTTGGCAGGAGCTTTGGCCCTGGGCCTTTTGCCGCTGCCGCTGGGCGCATTGGCACCAGGCTCATCCCCTTTCGGGGGCTTGGTGGACTTCAAGATCGTCCTGAGAGATACCAACATGATCATGCACTTTTTGGGGGGTCAGACTATATTTGTTTTCCAATGTAGTGTGTGGACTGAGCTTTCATTAATATACCAAGGGCTGGACTTCTTCAGCTTTGTATCTTCCATCAAAGCGCGGGATGTCCTGCAAGTAGGGAAGATGTAAATAAGAAACCACCTCCATGGACAAGCTGAATGTCTGGGGCATGCACTCCACTTCGATGCTTCGCAGCAGGGTCTGCAATTGGCTCACCTTCCTAAGTCCGTGGTAGATAAGATCAAAGACTGGGCCTGAACAGAAGCTACCAATGAATGATTCGGTTGAATATGACAAGGTTCGCTTTATCAAATTGTTCTTCCCCATCAGATGCCTTCATATGCCCATCGAAATAAGACTTGAGATCGGCAAGCTCATCATGTCGCTTTTCAAGCTTGGAACGGTAGGCATCCACCTTCGGGAGGCACCTTAGTTCATCAACCAAAAAGATGGGTTCATCAACCAAAAAGATGGGATAGAACAATTGTTCTTCGGTTATAATATATATATAATATACTGTAAAGTCTGTGGGTCTTGGTGGGATGGATATATATATAAAGTCAATATCATGGGCGTCACTTTACATTCAAGGGACTGCTGGCTTTCAGAAGTGTTCAGGGCTGTCAGCGTCTCACGGAGGGTATCCAATCGGCTCTGAACTCGAAGCAAATTGTCAACAACGGTTTTGATGTTCTCAACTGCCTCAAGGTGGCTCCAAGAATCTAAGTGGGACTAGTAAAGAGGATCAGGCTTAAATACTCTATACACCAAACTTCACATCGTCTCTTTGAAGGGTGCCTCAAAGACTGGCTCATTCTCAAGGTCATCCGGCTTGGGAACTTTCGAACGGACACTGGGAGCTTCATTTCCAGAAGTAGACTCGGCCTCAGACTCGTCACCTTGGTCCTCGATGCCATCTGGCGCAGCAGGGAGCCCAAGGTCAAAGCTGCTGGCAATCCCTTCAGTTGACGTTCGGTCAACCAAAGACTCTTCGTGTTCATTCTCGAATGTGCCCGTGGTGGCTGTGTCAACCCAGTACTCTTTGAGGTCCCGCTCATACTTGTCACGCCTATACTTCAGGGACATGTTCCAGGGAGGTTGCATGCAATTTTGTGACATCAATCGCTATCAAATATACAAATATTGAGCGCCAAAACCCAGTGCCTCACATGCGTTTTCACCCTTGACTTCACAGTGCAGTACCTGACCGCATCCTTGATTCGCTTCCTGAGTGCACAGGCTGACAGATAGGAAAGGGAGGGAGAAGGGGATCAACAGGACACAAAGCTGCAGCATGGGAGAAAACAGAACATGTTGAACATAATATAATTCCAACAAGTTTCGCATTCCATCCCAAAACTTTGCGCATGTTTTCCTTTGTGTAAAAACCTTTCTCCACCTTGAGTGTGTTCTTTCGAGACTTCTTGCTAAGGTGTTCCACCTCCTTCTTGAAGACAGCCTCTTGCAAATCACCAACGTCGCAAACACAACAACCACTCAGAGAGGAATGGGATCAATGGCAACAGTCACACCAACAAAAGAAAGAAAAACTGATCGAAAGAATTGGGATTAACCTGCCTTGTCCCCTTTGGCTCTGACCAGAACCTGCAACAAGACCTTGCGCTGCTGGCCTCCGGCCGCCCATTGTTTGTGAATCTCAGGGCTCACTTCCAACTTACCAGACAACGGTTTGGGACAGCAGAGACGACGAAGCTTCGCATCTAAGGCTGCCATCTTCTTGATCTCGTCAGTGGCCTGCATGGCCAAATATATCACTATATGGTGGAAATTTGATAGTTTGTCCTCTCCACACGCTGTTTGGTCAGAAACAAAAGAACCCAAAAGAATGTTGAGAACATGGCTGGGGTACACCAAGCCTTCTTGCGTTCGTCAACCGTAGTCTCATCAGCTGGTTCCTTCCAGACCAGGGCCCATCACTGGATATCCCAGATTTTGGTGGGAAGGGATTGGACAAATCCACTCACATACATATATATATGTGTATATATATATGTATATATATATAATTATATAATATGTGTTTACATATAGATACATAAAACATAATTTCCATTGGAAAGGGTCCTCGGTGTGAAAGGGGTCGGTCCCAAAATTGAAGCCATTTGGGGGCGCGCGCGCGGACCCCATTCACCTGGAGGACCCCTTTCAAGGGAAATCTTGTTATAAACACACATACATACATACAATACAGTACAGTACATTACATTACAGTACATTACATTACATACAAACAACATACATACATACATACACATACATACACTTAAATATGTATATATATACAATTATATACATACAGATATGACTGATGTTTGTGGAGCCTCCTCATCATCGGTGTGCTCATCAAGGTCGCTTCGGGCAGCCACCTGCTCTTCGGGATCCTGGACATCCTGCACATGTTGCATGCATAGGCAAGGGGGTGAACCAAGAGGAATGCTTACAAAACATCATCTAAAAGTAGACAAGGTTTCAATTGTTTTTCAACGATATCAGTCCTTGTCAAACTTTGGACTTTTGTCTAGTGGTGTTGCCAATCTCTGGGGTGTATCAGCTGAAGCACATGCTGGAGACCCATGGCTTTGAACTGGGGAATGTGTCTTCCCACCAGCTGCAGGTGTCCCTGGGGCAGCTGAGCTCTCATTCTTCAACTTCTCCAGGCGCGCCTTGGCAACCTTGGCAGTGGGTTGGACTGAATGGTTGTAAATTGGGGAATGGCCAAAAAAGATATGGGCAGCTTAGGAACGGCAAGGATATCTCCGTACTCAAGTTTTTCCTTCTCCTTCTGGTCATTCAAGAAAGATAAGCCACGCATGAGTGAACCAGAGGACCATTGCTTGGAAAGGAATGGCCCCTTTTCAGGGAAACGTGCAGGGGATGATGACATGATCTACTGAATCTATATCCCTAAATGACGCTTCTCCACCCTGTTGAACCAGCCACATTGCCAGAAACAAGAGTGAATGAACAATGATTGATAAATCACCGATCGACAAAATTTTCCTGAAGTTCAATTTTTCTGCAATTTCCTTTTGTCATGCCACATGAGCCGTTCACCTGTGGCTGCACCTCAAAAAACACGTTCTATGGTCAACGTGCTGAAGTTGCCATTGCCACTGCCTCAGTGCATAATCGTAGATTTACGATCATTTACGAATTAAAAGCCGATTGGGCCAGAATTTTTGGCAATGCCCTGACCCATGAAAGTAGCCTATTTTAGGAGTAGATTTCCTATGGTTTTTTACGGCACTAGTATGGGTATTTATGGCACTTTACATCATTTTGGTCACAGTGCCCATAATCAGGGGTTTTTTCAAAAACACCCATAAACGTAAATTCAAAACCCGTAAACGTATATTTTTTCAAAAACACCCATAAACGTAAATTCAAAACCCGTAAACGTATATTTTCCTGGGCCTACAGCAAAGCCTGCAATCGTAAATTGAATTGGTCAAATCCTATTTGACCTCACTGGGGAAAAGACACTTCCACTCCTCTGGAAGTTTCAAATGGGAATTCCCGTAGAGGTAGCGTAGCACCTCCTCCATCTGGGCATCGGCCCACAGGTCGGCGATGGCATTGTAGGGCATGGTCGATGCATCGAAAGGTTGGAGGAGCTCTGGAGAAGGAACCTGCAGTCAGTTGGAACATGCTTTTTCCCAGGGGACATATGAACAAATGAACTTGTATGAGTAAGAACATGCCATATTTCATTCCTTTGTATATATAGTTCAACTCTTTTTGACCAGGGGTGACAAGTTTATTTGGAGCGAGGTGCATACTTTGGGTGCAGTGGAGGCCCCCTTTCCTTCTTAAGGTGCTTAACTGAAGCAGCAAATTGCCTTCCATATCCCATAGGATATTGCCTCAGATTGGCAAAATACTGAGGAGAAATCAAAAGATCAAAAGAATCAAATCATTGCGACTTAAAATTGACTAAGTATAGGGCTGACTTGATTTGAGCTTGGCATTTCCCTTATACCTCTTCCGACCATGTCGGTCGAAATAGACATCTGCCAGCTTCTGCTTGGCACTGCGTGCTTTCATGCGGGCATACTTCTTGGCAGTGGCAAAATAGCGAATGCCAGAACTGTTGGACCATAAAGTTGTTCGTTTTGGTGATTTCCCTCCCCATCGAGACATCCAAAAGGATTGCCGGAACACCTCAAATTTCAACAAGTTGCCCAGGTGTCCAAAACCAATAACCATATATTACAGGTGTCCAAAACCAGTATAGACACATTTTGCCCATGATCGATTCCAACAAAAATGTTCTGTAAGTGCCATGGCACTTTCACATACCTGAGTATCATCTGGAATCTGGGGTGCCGAAACACCAAAGAGGAATGTGGTTGTTCCAGAACCCATGTTCCACCTTTGGCCATGATGAGGAGGATCGCCAAGCATGTCCTGCCAGAGCGCTTGGGCAGGCAAAGCAGCGGGGGTGGCAAGTGGCTATTCTAAGTGCAAAAAAGCAACACATAAGAAATCAACACAAGATTCTTTTTACATGTTTTTCGATTGAGATTTTGGTTTGTGATACTCACAAATCAACATTCACCCTTCCCATGACTTGTAAAGAAATAAGGAACTGCATGGGTCCTTGCTGTCAATAAATTTGATATCGCAACTGATGGGCTGTCGGGATCTCCAAGAGGTAAGAAATAATGTCGTCGTGTTGAACCACGTGAAATTGCTACCCATGTGGCGCATAGCAAAGCAATGGATACAACCAAATCGTCGTCCTTGCCTGACATCAATGTCACCAAAAGTAACCTGAGCAGATAAGGTTGTTACCAAGTACTGGCATGTTGAACTTATGACAATCCTATATATATAATTATATATATATACACATATACAAGAACCAGAGGAAAAACAGCAACATTATATAAGGGACGCAAATCCACTCGGCGTCGTTAAATCCAGAGGGTTGCCCTTGCACATGCGTTTGTTGGGCTGAAGCATTCGAGCTTGGATCCAAGGGTTCCAATCTACGATGTCCAGGCTGCATGTGGATAATCCAGATGCCCGGAGTGCACGGCTAAGAGTTCCAACACCCGAAAACATCTCAATAGCTTCATACTCCTGAAAAAAGGGATTTCTGCAAAGTTAAATCACTTCTTTTTGGAAACATGTTAGCTGTTTGAACCAATAATTGTTACCGACTGTAATCCCTGCCAAGCCTGACCCCAATCAATGCCCTCAGTGAAAGACAATAAGATCACGGCAAAGATAAGCACCTGGGCCACAAGAATTCCAAATTAAGCTGATCAATCTTCAATAATAGATTCTTTTCTGAATTGTGCTACACACCATGTCAGGCGAGTTTCTTCTGGGACACCCCAATGAAGAAGGCGGTGCATCAAGCGCATCAGCGAGGCTCGTTCCATCACCGGCATCCCAGCTACAGTTGAGGCCAATTTTAGATGACCTCTATAGAATCCGAAAGGTTTGTGCAAGAGGCCAGCACTGAGAAAATTAAAGAAAGTCGACATCATTCTGAAAGTTAGGACTACAACAATTCGATCGTAATTTGTTTCACAATGTTTAGAAGATTTTTCGACACCCTCTTTCAGACGGGAACTGGCTGCAATGGAAGTCATGGGGGTCATGGCGAATTGCATGCTGTCACAATCTGGTGAATACTGTCCCACACTCACACCCAAGGGCAGCATACCCCACCCCAATGCACAGAGAGGGGGAAGCGCACCGACAGGTTGTGGAGGACGACGTTTGATCCTTGCACCATACATCTCCTGGCATGTCCAGGTGCGCTGGGCCGGTGAGACACCTTCCAGGGTTGATATATATATATATATATTTATTTATTTATATATATATATATCAACATGTAACACTTGGATTTGGACGTGTATACATATATATATATATCGATCTATCTATCTATCTGTCGATCTACCTATATACATGTATATCGATCTATATATCTGAAAGAGAGAAAGAGAGAGAGAGAGAGAGGAGAGAGATTATCCATGCATGTGTTGCAACATGTAGTGCAAATCCTTTGAGGCAAAATCAAGTGCAGGCGAACTATATCTGTTTTTCCAATGTGCCTGCGAATGGTGCATCGCATGTCACGGAAACACGGCCTGCCTCCCTACTCAAAGGCCTTTTCAAATGACAGATTCTGCCAATAACGGCACCCAATCGGATTTTGCTAAAGCTTTCAGGGCAGTGACGCCAGCGCACATGAGAGAACACAGAATGAGATATATTGATGATTTCAATGCATTTAAAATCTTACAGGCTCACACCCCGCATGTGGCATGTTCAACTGCCAACACCCCCAAAAGTTGGCAAGGGTATCCCTGCCAAAATGACATCCCGCTGGAAATGTCATGAACATCACTGCCATCAGCACAGGGAAGAAGCTGCCAAAGATCTCGGTGGACCATACCTGGGCCAAGGAACGGATGCGGAGGGGAGGGGCTCAGCAGACTCCAACAAGTTTGGGTATTTTGGCATGTCTTTTATATTGTATTAGATTGTTGATCATGCGTGATGTCTATAAAACATGCGGCATAAAAAAAAAGGCTGATTCAGATGAGTTTCCTGGATGTGTTTACCTTTTACTTTGACAACTTGGATCTTTTGACCTTCTTTTTGCAAGACTTCGTGGGCTTGCGCTTCTTCTCAATCCCACCCGGACCCCCTGCCACAGCAGGCTCCACCTCATTACTGCCAGCACTGTT